GGATAATAAAATGTCAGAATGCATTTTTATGAACAAACACTCTAGTGCAACATAATTCCCTTTTGCGCCATTCCATTTTATTTTGAGTGCAGAAAACGTGTTTATGTTTCTCCCATTTACCAGTTGTTTTATTTAATAAGTGAGTTGGTAGATCGGGTTATTAAATATTAATATTTATCCAGGTTCCCGTGAAGGTGCTGCAGGGGTCTGTAAGGAAGATATTTAATGCATATAAAACTTTGAAAGAAAATGATGACATTTCCATCGGTTTGAATAATTGGAATTTTGAAATAAAATAATGTTAGTTAAGGACTGAACATTCCTTTTTCTAATCGATTATTTTCTCCTCAGTGCCAAATTCGCTTTGGTGGCAGAAAGGAGATTGCCTCAGATTCTGATAGCAGGTGCCATAAAAATATTGCCTATTTATTTTATAAAGCTGAAAATGGTTTGATAAGACTATGCCAAATTTGTGCGCTTTAATTAATTGGTAATTCTTTCCTATTTTGCTGTCACAGAGTCATATGCCTATGTGCCCAGTTTGAAGCAGTACTTCAACACGGCTTGAGGAAAAGTCGCGGTTTAGCCCTCACAGCAGCTGCCATTAAACATGCTGCTGGATTTACTAGTAAAACTGAAGCAGGTACTGTAACTGATTCCATCAAATAATGGACATCCAGACCTTACTTTCTATCATTTTTTTTCCTTCATTTTTTTATCCAGCCGTGTTAATCGATTTTCTGAAAGCACATGCTGAAAAGTGTTTTTCAAAGTGTTTACTCACTGAACTCTTTGCCCTACTTAATGAGTTTGTCTTAGTTGGTACCCCTGAGAGACATTGCCGGAGAGATTTCCCTAGTAACAAAGAACACATGTGGTGTTCTGGGTTGTCCATAGAGGAAACAGATGCTCATAAGTGCTCATACAGGAAAACCAGGTGCTGATACTGTTTATGAAACCAGATGGTTATGCAACAAGCCTTGTAAAAATGGCAAAAAAGAGAAACAAGGTTTTTCTGAGGTTAGTCTTTGCACCTGTTGTGGTTTTGAGCTGTTTAAAATTAACAGCAGAACTAAAAGTGATACTATGAATCAGTGCTGAGTACTTTTAGCTTTTTAAAATAAAAAATAAATTATTACTTTTATTATGGATGCATTGAATTGATCAAAAGTGACAATAAATCCATTTATAATGTTGCAAAAGATTTCTGTTTTAAATAAATGCTGTTTATTTTCTGTTTTCAACATTGATAGTAATAAAAAATGTTTCTTGCTCATTGGAAAGATTTCTTAAGGATCACGTGCCTGGAGTAATCGCTGCTGAAAATTCAGCTTTGCCATCACAGGAGTAAATAATATTTTAAAATGTATGAAATAGAAAACAGTTATTTTAAATTGTAATAATATTCACAGTATTACTTACTTTTTTTTTTTTTTTTTTTTTTAACTGTATTTTTGATCAAATAAAAGCCTTGGTGAGCATGAGAATATTTTTGTGAAAGTGGTCACATCTGAACCCACAACCTTTTGGTTTCCAGCCCAGATCTTTAACTATGAGGCTGCACCACCCTGTATCCTGTAATATCTTAATGTCACAGAGCCCAGGCAAGTATCACCTTCTGAGCCTTAAGTGAGCCATTTGAAAAAGTGTTACATACAGACAGCTGACCAAGTAAAATGCTCCGTTGTTTTGATCCAAACTTGGGCAGAAACCAGCAACAGATAAAAAATCCAAAATATCCAAAGGGATGTAAATACAGAACTAAATAATTACGTTTCAAATAATCTTATATAACCTCTGTAATATTCTCTGCCTGTCTGTATTTTCTATTATGAGGAACTGAGAACATTAACGTAGCGGTTCATACAGGCATCTATTGTGTGTTGCAGAGCTGACGTTCTGGTTTTATGTGAAGGAGCACCTCAACCGTCATGAGTTGCAGCGCTTCTACTCTCTGCGGAATATCACATCTGAGCAGGGCCGGGGCCGGGCATGGCTTCGTTGTGCCCTGAATGAACACTCGCTAGAGCGCTATCTTCACATGCTTTTGGCAGACCATGCCCGCCTTAGGTACAGACACCCATGATTCACTGTTGTGGATGTCTTCTTTTACCTTCCTTTTTGTTTTTCTCTACATATCAGTAATACTCTTTTAACTTATTCAAAGTTCTTTAATGGTTCTTTGGTAAATTCTTTAATCTGCCCCATATTTAGTGCCTTCTATGAAGACTGGGCTTTTGTCCTGGATGAGGAGAGAGCCAGTATGCTGCCCACCATGGCTGCAGGTAATATTTAAATGAGTTATTTGCCAGATGCTGTCTAGGAGTCATATGTAGTTGGGCGTCCTTTCCTGTACAAGTCTAAATTCAGTTTATGTGACAACAGGGCTCAATTCCATACTGTTTGCCATCAACATCGACAACACGGACCTAAATGGCCAGGCCCGCGGGGGGTCGTCTGTGTCCCACCTGCTTAAGGAGTCCACACAGGGCATGAGCAGTTTGTGGAAAGAGTCTACTCAAGGTGTCAGCACTCTTCTGCGGGAAATCGGTACTGCCACTGCGGTGGTTCCTGGTTTTATCCCTCGCTCGGATGCTTCATCAGACCCACTGCCCGTCCTGCCCCGCAGCACTTCTGCAGGTGCTTGAGTTACATACCATAATAGAATTCCACATGCACTGTCAGAAATATGTGCAGACATTGTACTTTTAGTGGTACAACAACTTGTCACTTTGGCAGTAACCCCTGAAGGGACAACTTTGTACCTTATCTACGCCTGAAAGGTGCATATTTGTACTGTAGAGTAGTAATATGTACCCTTAAGGCCCTGATATACTTACAGCAACATTCTTTTTCGTTCTCTGCTGAGGGGTAAAAAGAAGTTATAGCTGAAATACCTGAGCAGCGGTATACTGTTTCTGAACATCCCAGCATCACCCACACTGCTGAGAGCGGTGTTAAGATGAATATGTAAATATGTGCTGCACGCTTTCCTCTCAATAACAAAATAAACACAAATGACAACAGTGAGAAAAGAGCAGTTAAGAAAGCATCTGATCATAACGATGTGGATATGTTTGCATCATGAGCTCTGCAATTTGGCACTCATGTCATGTTTATTTATTTAGCACTTTATACAATATAGCGGCGCGATTTGGACGTTGAGGGCGTCGAGGAGAGTTGAAATCAGGCCAACTTTATGGTAATGAGCTATGACGCGGTTCAGCGGCAACCAATCAGAAAGTAGAAGTCCACCGCTTGAGAGGATTCCAGAGAATGCAGTCCTGTAAACTTTGGTTCCGACCACATTAGTTCCCAAGCAAAATGGAGGAGAGGTTGATTATTGCTGTGGCGGGTTTCCCAATAATCTATGACGTGTCCCTGTTTGCGTACAGGGACAAAAAAAAAAAAAATGATGCGTGGACCAAGGTGTCTGAGATTGTTGGTGTTCCTGGTGAGTTGCTGATGTGCATTAACGTTATAGGAATAATAATCTAATGATATAATAAATAATAGTATAATAGTCCCAGTTCACTTTTAAACCTTTAAATCAATTTTCCTGATTATACTTACATTAAGTAATGTTTATACCTGATTATACTTACTTAAGTAACATTTTCAATGCAGGACTTTTACTTGTATCAGAGTATTTTTACAGTGTGGTATTAGTGCTTTATACATTATGAGGTAAAGGATCTTAATACTTCGTCCACAACAATATTTAATGAGGCTAACTTAACGTTACCCTTCTTGTGGTCAGTCTGCACAAGATCAACAAGCGTGTTTGCTTTGCGACCCCTTTAAATACAAGATAAGCATTCGATCTACGTCAGAGCGTCAGAGCGTCCACGAATCTTTCTACAGCGTTGTTCGCCAACCCGTCGATCGCGATCGACTGGTAGATCTTATCACTGTCATCAGAGTATTTTTACAGTGTGGTATTAGTGCTTTATACATTATGAGGTAAAGGATCTTAATACTTCGTCCACAACAATATTTAATGAGGCTAACTTAACGTTACCCTTCTTGTGGTCAGTCTGCACAAGATCAACAAGCGTGTTTGCTTTGCGACCCCTTTAAATACAAGATAAGCATTCGATCTACGTCAGAGCGTCAGAGCGTCCACGAATCTTTCTACAGCGTTGTTGGCAGGGCGGCCAGAGCGATTTTTAATGCTCTCAATGGCGGCGGTGTGAACGCACAGTTAGAGAGTATCACATTGCATACGCACGCTTTCCCCTAAGCATAAACAACGCTGATTACGCAGATTATGTTCATGCACACGCTTTCTCCCCGAACGTAAACAACGCTGATTACGTCGATTACGCTCTTGGGTACTCTCCAAAATGGCAGAAGACGTAACTAACTGGATAAGAATTGTTAAATACATTTGATTACGTCTTTAATTGATTTTTCCGTACATTTCTGCCATATGTACATTGACTGACAGTCACCACTGATAAGCTATCACTAAATATTGTAGAAACTTAATTTGCTGTAAAGTTGCTTTGCAATGATTTGTATCGTGAAAAGCACTGTACAAATAAACTTG